ACACCTCAACATTTGTTTTTGTTTTTTTTCTCTCCCTGTATCATCTGCACCTGCCCAGTCGGATCTGTTCCAGGACGACCTGTACCCAGACACGGCCGGCCCTGATCCCTCCCTGGAGGCGGAGGAGTGGTTTGCGGGCAAGAACGGTGGGCCCATCCTGATCTCACTGAAAGATGGCTACGTCTCCACAAAGAACCGGGACCTGAAAGTGGTCAAGACGAATGTTCTGGAGAGCAAGCCGGCCACAAAAGTGGAAAATGTCCCGACTGTCCAGAAGCACGCTTCTCCACAATCCTCAGTAGTGAGTGTCGGGACTGAAAAGCCGAATCTGTGTTGTGTAACGTCGTCTCATTACTGCTCCCTCTTTTAGCTGACTTTTCAATTCTCCGATCCCAGTAATTATTATGGTTGGAACAATTCACTAAAATTATGGATCAGCACATACTCGGGTGTTGGAGTCACAATTGAGTGTGACAGCAAAGGAAAATGTTAACTGCTGCAGGGTCTCTAAGTCAAGAAATTAAAAAAAAAAAATCACTGTTTCCAAAAAGTTGTTTAAATGTTTAAAATGATAAACGACGTTTTTAAATGGCTTCATGGAGCTAACTCACTCTGTGTTTTTTGACCAGAAAATGGAAGACAAGCTGGAAGAGGTGCTCCGAGAGTTCAAGTCGCTCAGGGACCGCGTCATCCTTCAGGACCGTCGCATCGCCAGACTGGAAGAGCAGGTCGCAAAGGTCGCCATGTAAGACGCGGCCCCTTCCCAGGACCACTCGTCGTTTTTAGGGAGAGAACCGACCAGATGGGGTCAGCCACGGCCAAATTCAACAGATTCGGCTTCATCGAGCTTGGCATCGTCCCCGTGACGATTCCAAGCCCACATTCCAAGATGAACTTTTTATCTTTCCTCATCAAAGCCTTCTGTCTCACATTTCGCCCCGACAGCACGGCGGGAAAAGGAAAAACTCTCGCAGCCCGTGTTCACATCTGAAGCAAAGACATTTTTGTTGAAGGAACAGTCTTAATTTCTTTTATTTTCTTTGTTTTTTTGTTTGTTTTGTTTTTTTCAAATTGTGGTTCTTATGTAACGTTTGTACTCTACAACTGTATGTAGCATCAGTATTTCCATTGTTCATTTTTGTGTTGCCAAATATGGATTGTGTGCCATTTCATGCACTGCTTTTACATTTTGTTTTCTTTCTCCTGTTGTACATTCCAGTCACAGCCTGGTAGAATGATATAGCCAACCTGGATTGTTTTTTGGTTTTTTTTAAACAGTATATGCTTCTTCCTCCCATCAGTTTGCTCAATGATAATCCATCAGATTTATGAATGTGAAAGAATCCCTTCTTAAAAAAACATTTTATTCCTGATCTTCTGGGCTTAAAATTTAACTGGGGTTTTAATCGAGGGAGAGGGGTGGGAGGGGTGCATCTCTCTGGTGTAAATGTTGTGCAAATGTAGTGGTGCCTCTCGTCACTGTCAAGGGTCAAAGGTTGCCCTCTCCAGTGTATATTGGTGTTGGGAAGGGACCACTCACCCAGCTCGTGTTTCACTCAAACCCCTCCCCCTGACGAACAGTTCTGTGCACATAATAAAGATTTTACACATGGGAACCCTCCACCTGCCTCCGTTTATTCTGATCTTTTTGGTGCGTCAATCCAAACCCATCATGCTGTCTCGTTCAAGTTCTCACACTGAAAAATTAAGCGTAGCATTTCAGGCTAGTTTTACAGGCCTCATCTGGAGACGCACTGCGCATCAGTCACTGTTGGCAAGAAGGACATTTGATGACTGCTGTAAGTGTGATACTATTTAGCATTTCTACCACTTTCCTACATCTCAGGTTTACAAGATCAAGGTAATCTCACAAGGTTGCCAGATTCCATTTTGCTTGTGACAGCTGTAGTTATTTCACAACATTTAGCATTCAAATGTGTTGTTACTTGGCTGAAATCATCTTCCTTTGGCTGCTTCCATCTGTTCCCCCTCGCTCCAGTCCTCTACATGTCGTCCTTCACCATGTACATGAATCTTTTCTGTGGTCTTCCTCTCCTCCTGCCTGGTGGATCTATATTCTGTGTCGTTTGCAGTCCCTACATTTCAAATCACTCTCGCCTCCACACTCCTGTCTTCCCTCCTCTCTCGCTGCCTCCATGCATACCTTCTTCCTCTCCTCCTTTGTTTTTAGTCAACAGTAGCACAGCTTCCACTAGCACAGCAGTATCATTGGTGGTCATTGTTATTGTAGGCCTCAGTTGATACTCAATGGAAGTCTAATGGAGGATGCCCTTCCTATTTATCCAGGCTTGGTACCAGTGCTAGCACTACAATGGCCTGTGGGCCCCTGTGACCTTGAATAGTGCAGCCTACAGTATACAAGATCATTTAACCTGTACTCTGAGCTGACCAGCACCTTTATTACAATTCTCTAATGTGTAAATAGACCAATAATGATAATCCAGGAGGCCCCTTGGCACTGTGATGCTTTAAAGAAAAGGTCAGGCTATGTTTTTTCTAAATCTAAAGTAACCTGTGAAGTGGTCTGAGGTGGGACTAGATTCCTGCTCCAACTTTGGGCTCTGCTTTCAGAACAGAGGTTCTCAAACTATGAGGGCAGAGCACAGAGCCTACACAGGGGAGAAGTGGAGGACTAACCTATGCTAAGCTGAGCTAAAATTATTTTTTTAAAGGGAAAATTAACAAGAATTTGGTTTTGCTGTAGTGTTGACTTTAAATACCTTGACCCTTGTAAAGATGGGGAATGTCAGAAAAAATGTTTGCGATCAACTGTTTTAGTATAAAGGGGCAGGGACAGTTATGGGTTAGTTCTGTGCAGAGCCAACACGCAGCTCTGTGGACCACTGCCAACATGTTTACTGTCAGCAGGGGGCAAAAAAAGTGAGGTGGACCAACTGGACTGTGAGCTATTTGTGTTTGTGCTGTTGTTGGTCCATCACTCAGACGACTGAAGTTCAAACTTGCAAAGAGCTCAAGTGAAACTGAGTGTTAAAGATAACTAAATGTGTCCACTGCAGGCCCTGTATGGTCTTTTCTTCGTCTTTTTTTAAATGGTTTTTGTGCCTCTCCTCAGTGGTTAACTCCAGTGGTTCTCCCTTAACTGTTCAGGCCCAATTTTCAACCAATCAGTATTAGCTCTGTGCACAACATCATCCACAAAGAGCCATTGTGAGCTACTTAATGTTGGGTTTTTGCACATCTGCGGATGTTGTATACCTGGAGTCCTTCACTCTGCATGGCCAAATATCTATGCACATGGACACACAAGCTTGAATTGCGACTTTGGAGGTGATTCGCAGTTTCTTTAATGGCCATTTGTGGCTCACTTCAAAAGCGAGTCATTCCTCACATATTTGCACGTAAAACCGCTGTCTGTGAGTCACTGAACCTCTGACTGTGCTGGTGGTGCCATTACTGGAGTTATAGTTGTAATATTATGGCCTGCTGTGTGGTTCAGACTGTGAGTGAGTGAAATTCTTGTGGTTAATCAGTCTATTACTTTGAGTTAATTAATTGTTAATTAATTGAACTTTTGGATGGTGCTTGCTTTATTTAACATCCACCCTATGTCTAAATATGCGGTGTGATTAAAAAGTTCTGGAAATGAGAATAATTCCCATACAAATCAGAAACCTTAACTGATTTCAATTTGAAGGTCATTTCTCTAGACGGCAACAAACTTGTTTATTTCAAACTGACCCCAGTTTCTCCAACTGTAACTTTGAAGAGTCCAGCATTTCCAGGAACAAGGAGTAAGGTCAAGAGCGTACGCATCATCTTTTAATACAATTAACAGGGTCATGCACTGTGAATTTCAACACTGGCTGTCAGTGCGCCCTGAGTGGGGGGCAGGGCATTCAGAAGGAAACAACCTTAGTTGTTGTGCAGACCAGCCCACCATTGTGCCCAGGAAGTGAGCTTTTTTCATCCACAACAAAACCACCTTAAACCTACTTTCCAAATCTGCCTCTCTGCGGCTTTGGCCACTTCTTGTTAGTAAAGCTGGAGGCTTACCATTATGAAGAGGCACGGGTACAAGAGGCCCATAACGTATATGCATAGGAGCAAAAAACAGTACGGACACTTAAAATGGTCCAGAGGTGACTATGAAGGAGGCATCAGCCAGATAAAAAACTAGGGTTTTTTTTTTTAGTTTTTTTGGACTGATTTCCAGGATTTTCTTTTTTCTTTAAACACACCTGGTATGATCACTGTTGGCTCCAGAAAAAAATTAATAAATAAAATAAAGCACTGGTTAAAAGCATGGTGCTACACTTCAGACAGCTGCTGCTCAGGCGTTGGAGCAGCTGATCAGAAGGCTCCCGTAGTGTGCATGTCGAAGTTTCCTCAGCAATTAGACGTGTTTGTATTAAGTCGAAAAGGCACTACACAAGTACAGTGTATGGCCATAATTGGACAATTTTGAGTCTGATCTAGAAGATGCAGCTGCACGGCTGTATTCTTTAGTCTTAATATTTCTTCCAAAAAATCCAACAAGAAAAAAGTCTGTATGCAATTACAGTTTTACTCAGTGAATTTTCTCATCTAAAGCAGGTTAACAATATCTGACAGCACTGGCACCTAACTATAAATATCCACTATACAATAATAGAGGACAAACTGTAGATATTGACAGTGAGATTTAGCCAATATTGATGGATTATTTTAAGCCACATGTAATCATCTAACTGCTCAATGTTTTAGATAAAGAGCTTCGTTGCATGATCTGTATAGATCTATGTTGTCAGTTTTTCAATTTGGTAGTTGTGTGTGTGTGTGTGTGTGTGTGTGTGTGTGTGTGTGTGTTTGTTTTGTTGCACTTCTTGGCAACGGAACAAAAAAAAAATCTCATTTTTGTGTCACTGTCTTTTAAAGCTTGCGTCTTGCTTTTTTTGTAGCCACATCTCAGTGTGACTCACCAGTACAGGAAGTGACAGTTATCATTTCCACAGAAGATGAGCATTTCAGTTTCCCCAGCGTGCAAATGTGGGTGTCCAAGCTTCTTGTGAGGTGACTGTTACAAGGTGACAGGCTTTCAATTCATAAGACACCAAATCAGGTATCCGTCTATTACACACGATCCATCCATTGTATATACGTTTATATGTAACTGTGTGTCCTGTCGCTGTGGTTAACCATGATATGCGCATGACATGTAGCTTTAAATCTTAGACAGAAATGTGACCATAGGGTGACATGCGGGAAGCATCTGAGCAGTTTGCAGAACTGAGTACTTCCTGTTACGTTAGATGAAGTAGTAATCAGACTGGCCAAAGAGCAACAACTGATCCATTCTGAGCTTTCCATCAGAAAGGTAAGACAGATCTTCTGCTACATACCCGATTATAGCTGACAGGACTTGGTTATGTCTTAAAATGTTATTTTTTATAAAAATGATAAAAACGAAACAAGGTTGTGAAACGGTTTGCCTCCTGGCTGATGCAAGCTTAAGCTGTGTGCTTCAAAAGGAACTGTCTGTATCTGAAAACATTACATAGTGCCGTGTTGGGTTTTTCAAAAAAAAAAAGTGTGAACATTTCCTGTTTTCTTTTATTCTCTTCTTTCTGTCAAGCACCTACAGTCAGTACTGCGAGACTGTCCTCTGAGAGTGGCTGAAATGAGCTGAACTTTTATCACTTTTCGTCCTCACCCGTGCTCTGTTCCACCTGCAGACAGGTAAGACACGTCCACTGCTGTGGTTAAACTTTTCTGACTTAAGGATCTACCACTTATCTCGTTATGTTTAATGGTGCCAGATAAGTTCTGGCACAGGAGTCCGATTTATCAGATTTTATTTCTCTCTACATATTTTACATTTTGGTTTGTTTTTTTGTTTTTGTTTTTTAAAGATTAGAATTTTCTCTGACTGAAAATACAAAATGTGAATCCTCTGTCAGTCTGCTTAAAAGTTTTCACATTTAATATTCGGTGCTATACTTTTGAGTTTTGGTGTGAACGTCAAGCAAAGGGTGTGGTGACAGACACATGATTGCCTCATCACACGATGTAACTGGTACACTTGACACAATGATTTTTCCTCCCATGTATCTTTTTTCCATGTATCTTTTTTTTTTAAACTTTTAACTCATTCTGCAATTTCAGATTTGGTTTAACGCAGCTATGACACTCCTCGCCATGAAGACATTTCCAGCCTTTTTATGGGGAATATTCATCGTGGCTGCTTCCACCCCAGAAACCAGTGGTTCTACCTACACTGTTGAGCCCAACAAGACAAACGCCCAGCTGACAACTGCACTTGCATTTCACAATAAAACAGATTCACACCCTGCAGTGTGGGGAACAACTCACAGACCTGCAGCTACTACCGTTTCTGCAGCGGCACAGAGCACAGTGGTAACCACAGTGGAAACTAGCGCGGCAGCTATCAGTAACAAAACTAAAAGCTCCAGTGACAGTGTAGTCACTTTGATTCCTACAAGCCCTGCAGCAGCAGTCCCAAGCAGCTCTGCTCCGCAGTTACTTCATACCTCCACAGCTTTGATTGAAACTCAACCCACCCACCAAGTGACCATGAAAGAAACAACAACACATGCAGAGGACGGGTCCCATCCACAGTCAACCACAGCGCCAGACACCACTGCTCCTGCAACATTCTCATCAACAGCAGCTGTGTCTTCTCCACAGCCCACATCCATCACTGAGTCTGCAATGACATCAGTGTTATCATCCACTTTCTCTTCTGAGAAATCTACTGCAGCTCCAGGCACTCAGAACCTCAGCAGCCTTTCAGTTGCTACTGCAAGCCCATTGACGGCAGAGTCGATCTCAGAGACAACACGTGTGCCACAGGTGTCCACCTCTTTGCCCCCCACAACAGCCAAGACACTGAAAACCAGCCCTGAGATTTCATCTGCAACTCAGTCCGTTTCTGCCTCGAGTTCTTCTATCTCCACACAGTCAAATGCTACCTCTACGTCAACTGAATCTCCCAACTCCACCATTGCAATAATCCCGTTCCCCCGTAGGCCCACGGTGTTACCACATCCAATAACTAAGCCAGCCCCAGCTACTAAATTGCCACACGGTGAAATCTCAAAATCAACCCCCAGCACCGAGGTTCAACCCTGCTTGACCCAGAACGTGGTGAAGCAATGCCTCATTGTCATCGCCTGCCTGGCTTTGGTGTGCACAATCTTTATCTTTACTACCATTGTCCTCTGCGCCAAACTGTCATCGAGGAAGCGCAAGCGCAAACCTCAAAAGGAAACGGAAATGATGTGCATTTCTGCTCTGCTGCCCGAGAGGAGCTACAACTATACGAGACAGCACAATCCGGTGCCCAATGGCGTCCTGGTGATGCCAAGGGCTGAAGACAGCGATGACGAGGTGGGAGATAATCTGACTCTCAGCAGCTTCCTTCCAGAGAATGATCGCTACGTGTAGATGGATTTTACTATGCTTTCATCTGTTTGCTATCAGTCAGCATGGAAATAGCTGCTTTTTTAATAAACTCCTGCTTCCCCTTTGATATTACTGGTTTTGCTTCAGTACCTGCCGTATTTCAGTGGAGGAAGAGAGAAACCACAAACAGACAAACATTCACGGTTTCATGTGCAAGTGCCTGTAACTGCATGTGGTATTTGACAAGGTCTGTGCTTTTTGCATGACTTTAGCCTCCACAGGATGAAGAGTGATCAAAGTTTGTTTTTTGTTTTTTTTCATCCGGAGCTGAGCCCTGCTGGTATTTCACTTTACGACAGGGGACAGGAAGACTTGCTGTGCAAAGGGATATTATTGCTCTGTTCAGACACTGTTCAGTTTACAAGAACTATCCAGGTGGCTGAACGCTTAAAGGGACAGTTCAGCCTCAAGTCAAATTTACATGTTGTTCTGCTGGCCTGTAGTGCTATTTGTCCACCTGATGTGCCGGTGTTTGCAGATATTTACTGTAGAGTTGCCTTCCTTGTCTTGAATATACCAGAACCAGGTTACAACTGACTTCTGCTACTCATTGCAAATTTCCTTTTTCAAGAAATCATCCTCAAATGGTGTTGTGAGCAGTTTTATGCAGGAACTATGTCTTTTCGACCTAACTGCATCAGCCAGTCAAAAGCTAAAATCACACCTCAGCTAAGGGGGAAACAATCGGTGTTTACATCCTGTCACAACGTCGTTGTGCAGTGGCACACTTCCTTCTGCAAAGTGACGCAATTGGCTGGTGCACTTTAGAAAAAAGAAAATGTAACCACACAAAACTGCTCGTTATGGTGGATTTATTTTCCATAAGTGGGTTGTTATGATTGATAAGAGCCAGGGAGGTTTCAAAGACAGTTTTTGAAGCTGTGAGCACCATACTTTTAATATCTAGCACCATTATATTAAATAAAAAAGTGAGATAAGAGAAAAAACAAGAGATGGATGGATGGATATCACCAATTTTGTGCAATTCACACCAAAAGATGAGCAGATACATAGATGGTTGAACGCTTGATGATGTAATGACCCTCTTGTCAGTTTGTCTTGGTCGGTCATGTGACCCTGGCATGGAGCTAACATGGCTTAGTTGTAGGGTTTTCATTCATCAGGGGCTGATTGTGGCATATAAGGAGCAGTCCTGGTGACTCTTTGTGTCTCCTGTCCTCTCCTCTTCTGTATGGACTCCCTGCAAGCCTGCAAGAAAATAGGATCACCCGACTAGGCCACCTTCGGTCCACCTGAGTATCACATGACCTATAAAAACAAACCGACATGTGGGTCGTCACAATGCACAAAATTAATTTCATGTTGTTTAAGTGTGTGTGAAGAGATCTACTTTCTGATAATTTATTAAATAAATGTCTTTGTTAACTTTAACATTTTAGTAACTCTTCAGGTTAAGAGTCATAATGAAAAAAAAGAATAAAACATTTCTGCAAACGTAGAACTGATCACTTCTCAGTGTAGAAGTTAAACATATTCTGTGGTTCTCTCATGACAACAAAAGTTTGAGGAACTTATCTGAAAGATTTCCTCAAAACGATTATGCCTTGCAATCCATATTGGGCTTAGTGTTATGAATATTTTCAACATTAAAAGTAGCCTTTTTAATAAAAAAAAAAACTGTCTGTAAATTTCTAAACAGTCAAAATAGAAATAAACTTTCTGTGATCTCCGTCAGTGCCCTCGTTTATGAAAGCCCTCACAAAAAAAGCTTTTTTCCTGCTCCTGACTGGATCTCAATTTCACTTCCTTTCCTGAGAAAAGAAAACAATTCCCTGAATACATATTAGGGCCATGAGACCACATTTTTTTCTCTCTCTTTTTAAATTTTCCCCCGACATTTACAGACGTCGGTGACTATCAACAGAGCTGAGGCAAATGTAAACCTGGAGGATGCAGGAACCCATCGCACGCTCCTCATGACCATATAAAGCTACGTTTGTCGTGAGCGATCAAAAGCAAAACAGACATGCAAGAAAAATGCAATCACTCAAACAAAGTCACACTCTCTCCCTTAAGTGGTCTCACACACATACATACACACACACACACACTTTAATTGCTCGTCTCTGGATAAAATGCTCCACATTGTTTCTAACAGTCTCCAGCGTGTGGCCTTTACCTTCCCCCTTCCCTTTGCTGTCCACACAGGAACCATTAACCTTTTCCTGCATTGGCAGATCACTCATACAAGCTGCTCTCTGACTCTTTTTTTAGCCCCAGAGGTTTGCTGTTATTCATCAGTGTGAGGGACTAAGGGGGTAAAACGAAGGAAAGGCTGTCAGTCAGAGGCTCTGTTTTATTTTTAGAGGGTTTATTTATTTGTGACGCTTTTATAGCTCTTAAGAATTAATTTTGTTTTGTGGAATTGGCTTTCCACATCCACTGAGCCAAACATCAGAGTGGAGAAGAGGTCCCTGCCCCCACAGCACATTATAAACTCCCACATAACAAGAACAATCTGTGTGCAGGCCGGAGAGCTCAGACACTCTCGGGGAAACTGGAGGGGGAGGAGAACAGTGGATAGGCAGAAGGAGGGATTTCTCCTCATGGTAAACTGCATTTTTTTTTTTTAAATACCCAGACAAACCTCCACACTGAAACCTGAAACTCGCGGAGGGGGCGTGCTTCACCGAGCATTCGCCGCTCTTTGCTGTGCTAAGTTCACTTTTTTCCAGTCTCATCCTCCTCATTCTGAGGGCTTTTCAGCAGACAGCTCGTCTTCTGCAGTGGATGGTGAGTCAAATGTGTCATTTCATAAGGGTTTGTCCTTAAAATTCAATAACAGCATCTTGACACCTTGTTTGACAGCATCATGATAGAAGGATTCAAACTCAGGAATTAGGAACATGATAATAAAAAAGTAGAGACAAGGTTCAGATTTAGACATTAAAAGTTTTAGACATTACGTTTGCAAATAAAATAGTCGCACTTGTTAAATCTGCTGAGTGAAGATTTGTGTGTGCTTGTGACCTCCTTCTGTGCGTGTTACTGTGTCAGTGTATATTAGGTCCAGGGTGAGCAGGGTGATTGATTTGGGAAAAAAGAAAGAAACAACAACATCAGAACCCGTTTCCCAGACTTTCATGTCTCGCAGCTTGCACACAGATGGCGCAGAAAGATTTGGGAGACAGACTGAGCACGTAGCTTAGTGTGATCAAAGTTCTGTTTGAATTCTGGTTGTTCGGTTGAATTAATCAAGTTGCAAACACACATACTATTTATACTTCTTGTTGTAGAAAGCCATGTAAGATACTTTTGGTTATATCTGAGCAGGAAGTTTTCCTGCTAAATCAACACCTCTCGGGTTAATGATACGCTCAATATAATTTATTCTAATATGTAAAAAGGTGTAGTAAAAATTGTAATTTGTAGAGATTTGGTTAATTTGCTTGAGATATAATTCTATGGTCACTTCTTTAGATACACATTGCTAGTACTGGGTTGGATGCACTTCAGGGTTTTCATGGCAGAGATTCAAAAAGGTGCTGGGAACATTCCTCAGAGATTTTAGTCCATATTACCATGACAGCACACAGTTGCTGCAGCTGTGTCTCATCCGTGATGTGAATCTTCCATTCCACCACATCCCATCGAGATCAAGATCTGGTGACTGTGGAGGGTATTTGAGTGCAGGGAACTCGATCTCATGTTTAAGAAACCAGTTTGAGATGATCTGAGCTGTGCGTTATCCTCCTGGGAGCATGTGGGCATAAAAGGGATGGAGATAATCAGCAACAAAAGTCAGGTAGGCTGTTGCATTTAAACGATTCTCAGTTGGAACTATTAGGTCCAATGTGTGCCAAGAAGCCGTCAGCCTAAGCCATTGATGCAAGGCAGGATGGATCCATGCTTTCATGTAGTTTATGCTAAATTCTGACCTTAACACCTGGATTTCATCAGACTAAACAATGTTTTCCACGCTTGTCTTCTTGTCTGGTGTCGTCCTCTGCTGTCAGTCTGCTTCAAGAGAGATGCTCTTCTGCATACCTCGGTTGTGGTCATTTTAGTTTATTGTTGCCGTCTTATCTGTTTGAAGCAGTCTGGCCATTCTCCTTTGACTTCTGGGATTAACGAGGCATTTTCACCCAGAGAACTGCTGCTCACTGGATAGCTTTGCTTTATTGGACCACTCTCTGTAAACCCCAGAGAAGATCAAGACCAGCCTGTCTGACACAAGCAACAAAGTCTCTTAAATCACTTTTCTTTTTTTATTCTGATGCTCGGTTTGAACTGTAACAGATCAATGCACTAAGTTGCTGCTATGTGACTGATTAGAAATTTGCATTGATAAGCAGTTGAAAGTGTGTGCCTAATACAGTGGCAATAAGCGTATAAGGCATAAGTATAAGTTTACATGTATTTCTTTCAAAGTGCAATTTCAACTAACCCAGAGCTGGGAGCCTTTTCTACTCTAACTTTTACTCATGACATTTAAAACAGTGCAACCAAGTGAACATTAAGATAGACAAATATAACTAATAAAACATGATCTTCTCGTACTTTGTAAACTGTGGAATTTCAGTCATCCATCTTTGTTTTTGTTGTAAAGCAGACTGAATGTCTCAAGAGCAGCACTACTAATTTTACTTTTCTGAAAAAAAGATGTTAATCAAATACACACAAAGCACATATTCTCTTGACGTGTGTCACTGATGTTAAGTGTTATTTACAGATTCCGAGGGGAAATGCCGCTCCTGATGGCCCTTCATCACATTGGTCTGTGCGTGGTGCTTTGCATCAGTAGCAGCCTCTCCACACCTCTGCCTTACTCCGATACTCTGGAGGGAAGCATAGATGAGGAAGACAACAACTACTTCACTTTCTATCTGCCTAATACCAATGTCTCCACAGAGTACCAGACCGCACCTGCCAACACAGCCCAGGAGGAAACTGACTTTCTGAATCAGCTTGTGAACTTTCTTAATGAGAACATGCTCCTCATCCTCGTTGCAGCCAGTCTCATCCTTCTCGTCTTCCTTATCATCTGCGGGGCAGTTTTCATGAGCCACAGACGCAAAGTCAACGCTTACTATCCTTCCTCCTTCCCCTCAAAGATGTATGTGGATGACAGGGACAAAAGTGGAGGTGCTAAACCCTTTAACGAAGTTCAAGAAAAAGCTTCCCCGGGGCAGGAAAGCGAGCCAGTGGACTCTCACAAGCAGCTCCAGGCTGACATTATGAGGGCTGCCAAGAGCCTGCGCGCTCCAAATAAATCTGTTGATGCTGCAGAGAGAAGCGATCCCAGTCAGAAAGTAGCAGACCACAGTCCCGAGGACAGCTCAAAAGCAGATGACAGCATCCTAGACCATCAGCTCCCAAGTCTCCCAGAGGAAAATGAGCCGAGCGAGCTTTCCGACAGTGAGGCCACCACCACAGAGGGCAGCTCAGAGCCGAGTCCTCCTGAGCTGCCTCGGTCAGAGGAAGTTGATTCACAAGAGCCTTTGACGGGCAGGAGTCTGCGGCCCTCCTCTCTGCACATTCACAATGACTCTGCTACACTTCAGCTCATCGCAGGAGAGAAAACTGCCTTCTAAGAAATCACATTTTTGCAGAAAACCAAAGATTTCTGCAGGATTTTATTTGAGGAAATGCAGAGAAGTTACTAAAGATACAGCAGGCAGAGTTGAAGATGATACATGATACTCTCTTTATGCACTTTTGTACAAGTTTCACAGTACACAAATAGTGTTAGTATTTTTTGTGTTCCTGTGTTTGAATTTAAACATCTCTGCTGGTAACAGTAGGTGGTGTGGTCCCAATTACTCTGCGCTTCTATGCAAAAAACAAAAACAAAATTGAACTAGGACTCAGTTCCGTTTTTGAATTTTTAATATGAACCTGTTATGCTTTTCCCCATTTTCTGTCATATATACACTGCTACAGTAGGGTGGACTTTTATATTAAACATGTCCGGAGTTTCAAATAAAAAGTTCAGCGTATGTAATGGCTGTGAAACAAAAGATCAGCACTCTGTGACATCACCAGGGTACACATTCCTGATAATGGCTTGTTTCAGGAAGTAGATGCATTGAGGCAATGCTCTTTTAAAAAAAAAAAAAAAAAAAAAAAAAACAGTATGATGATTTTTGACCTGCGAGTCATGTAAAGCTACTCCAGCAGACTCCAAGAGTAAAACTGTGGAGTTTGAAATTTTTCTCTTTTTAGGGTGCACGCTTAGGATTCCATACTTTTACGGAGCCTGTCTGACTGGTTTTATCACTGCACATCACACGCTGAACCGCTTAAACATGTGGGCCCGTACACATCTCAGTGGGACTCCAACGCAGCCGCCTCTGTGAAAAGCCTCCAAATTAATCAAAACTGCAATTGGACGGCATGTCGGGTCTTTATGTAACAGCCCAATAAAGCTAGTGAGTGCAGATGATGTTGAATGTCGCTGTGCTCTGCAAAAGCACTTTTCAAAATTGTGTGCACGTAAGTCAGAGAAATAGAAAGCGGGTGTGAGGGAGAGAGAAGCTGAGACACTGAGATAAAGCGAAGCAGTCAGGATTTGTCAAGTGTATAAAACCACAATCTGGTGTGTTTTGGCTGCAGCGGATCTCAGCTGCAGAGCTTTTTCAGATGCGTTATTGTAGCAGGAAGTGCACGGGCGTATTTGCAGGCTCTGTGTCTATGTGCAGCTTACTCAAATGGATCACAAGGACGACTTATTTAAAGAGAATTAAGAATAACCTCATTAGTTACGCCTGTATTTTTCTGTAGATGGAGGGTCAAATAATGTTTAAATAATAAACAGGATTCAAAAAGTACAATTAGGGATAATTTTATTACAGACTTTTAAAGAAGCATTTGTAAATATAAGTTGCATTTGAAACTACTGGACCCCCTTTCTTTGGTTCAAGCCACTTTGCTTAATCAACAGGTCAGTGCGTTTAGAGTGCAGAGGGTATAAACAGCTTTTAGCTTTCATCCATACCTCCATCACACCTTTCAAAATAAAAAACACTCCACCTGCACAAAGCAATTTCAAAAATAAGGCTCATCTCTGTACCAACAACCCAAAACAGTGCTTATATTGTGCGTTTACGTGACAGGCTAAAAGATACAGTATACACGGTTAGAGGATCGCAGACTAATAAAAACAGCCTGGTGTAACACTGCTACAGAGGGTTGAAAGGTGGTGGGCTCGTCACCATTGCCGCAGGAAAGTGAGGTGTTGACGCTGGACTATTTCTCTTCTCGGCAGCAGGGAGCCAAACCGGGCCCAGCACAAAGCGTGAGCGCTCCATTTAATTGCTGGCTCCGACTGCCTCCTGCTGGTCATCTTGTTGCTTGAGACGATAGTCAGCAAGGGCTGCCTTGATGGCATCTTCGGCAAGCACTGAACAGGAAATAATTGGAGGTTAAATGTGCACATGTGCAGAGAAGTTTGGAAAAAAGAAAAAGAAGAGCCTTGACGTATTAAAAGAAAACTTACTGGAGCAGTGAAGCTTAACAGGAGGAAGACTGAGCTCCTTGGCGATGTCTGTGTTCTTTATCTTCAAAGCTTCGTCCACCTGAAAATAAAAGCCCACACACAGCCATGAGCGGAGCAGAACACGCTAAATATTTAATAGATTAAACATTCAAAGGAGCTGAGATGCAGGTCTGTAATGTGTTCACTCACAGATTTGCCCTTCACCCACTCGGTGGCCAGAGAGCTTGAGGCGATGGCAGAACCACAGCCAAAAGTTTTGAACCTGGCATTCACAATCTTCCCCAGGTCATCCACCTCAATCTGAGAAAAGTTTTGACTGTTACTCATGTGACAAAAAAAAAAAAAAAATGAGCAAGAAAAAAAAACCCAAACCAAACAATCTTAATCTCTCCCATTCTTAAAAATGTATCCCTACTAAACTAACAAAAATAAACGCCTTTAAGTCACACACACTTTGTAACAAACATACCTGAAGCTTCATTACATCCCCACAGGCCGGGGCACCCACCAAACCAGTTCCAACATTCTTGGAGTTTTTGTCCAGCGAGCCCACATTTCTGGGGTTCTCATAATGATCCACCACCTTCAGACAACAGAGAGGGGAAAAGGAGCATCAGGCCAAATGCACTCTTCCTGTTGCTGTCAGAATTCAACAATCACATATTTGCAGGAAGGAAATGCCATCTACATTCAGATACAATGGTAAAAAGAATGTGTACAAGTCTTGGCATCCTTGTTACACAACTACAACTTGACTCACTTGCATAACTGACACTGGCATGAGCAGATTAGGACTGGATTTCATGGTCTACACAGTGCAAACTCTGTCCTTCAGCCCTCTTACTCTATTTCTTGCTGAGTCACTCTGACCAAGACAGTGTGAAGTGGCCGAGCATCGCAAAACCTTTTGCATTTTTCATCAGAAATTAAAGGTTTAAAGCCAGATTCCTCAGCTGATGGCTGAAATATGACCTCTTATCCAAGAAATAATTTTAATAAAAGGCATATAATGTCTAAACCTCCACAATCACCCAAAAACATCCAGCTAAACATAAATACATCACAGTTATGGCTGCCATGACCCGGTTAACCTCCTGTTGCATCAGTACACCTTCACAGGTATCACATAACATTTACCTGACTCTAGTACAACATACTGCCACCCTTTAAAGCGCATCAATCGGATATGGTTAAAACTGTGGCAGTGGACAGCTGGTTGCAGATTAGTGACGTTATTCCAGCCTTCAGTAAGCTAAATAGCTACAATGAAACAATACATTTGTTTTTAACGGGCTAGCATCATGGAGGTGAAGGGTTTGAGATAACCAGCGTAAAGGTAGTCTGATGTAACTTGAAACATTTGTGCAGCCAGCTAAATATAAGCCACCATCCTATGGTTGTCAACAAAATGCCCGAGCAGAAAGATCTTACAGAGTCGTGGTTGCCCGTGTTTAGTAGATCAGTGAGCTGATACTCCAGGATGCTTTCAGTAGGAGTAAACATGAACCAACAAGCAGCTGCGACGCTGTAAGCCGAGCTCCCCGTTAAAGAGAAGCTACAGACTGGACCACTTACCTTCTTGTGATAGCAACACTGAGTGATGAACTCGGGAGCGGAGAGCCTCCTGGTGAGGAAAGCCAGAGGACTGAGACACTTGTTCGCCACGGTGCTCGCCATGTTGATCCAATGTCGCAGTTAAGAAAGCTCGCAGCTCAAGAGAATGGAACTACACGTCACTGCCAGGAGGAGGAGCTACAATAATCACATCTGCGCATGTCTGGTTTATGCAATTTACAAAAAACGCTCTTTTGATAATGCAATACAATTAGACTTTCATTTGTTTATATTTTTTTTTCTCTTTGTATTTTAATTGATCAAATTATCTCTCTTTACGAGTCTTTATCAAGCATTTAGTAGAGGTGGGTAGATTAAGCCAAATATGGAGTGCCACAGGATTCATACTTTAGTTTATTTCTGTCCTCTAAGGTTCATCAAAAAAGAAACATGCCTGTGCAATCGCTGCTCCACTCATGCAGTCACTTTGACATTAACTAATTATAAAAATAAAGTGTTATTGGTCGTCTTGGCTGTTAGGTTTGCTAACTGATTAACAATAGACTATATTCAGACATTCAAATAATATATTCAGCCCACTGAATTGTGTTAAATACTTTATTTTATTGGAAATGAAAAACTACACCTCAGACATGAATTCTGAAAAATTCCTGAGCCCTTTTGTGTTGACTGTTAGGTCCATTTTATTTATAGCCTAAGAAGCATTTAAATGGCAGGCGTTGACCCAAAATAGGAGACAGTCACGTTAAAAAACAAAAATCAAGTTTCAAAATACACGAAAAAGCTGAAAGGTGGGTTTTGTTCTGTTAACTAATTAATCTGTGAAGTTGAAAGAAAATGACAATGATTTAGTAGGGAGTAAAATGTGTTCAGAATTTGCTAATTGATGATTCATGTCATAAATCAAGACACACTGCTCTCCACTACATAAACTGTATCAGCAATACTGGCCCTGTATTTACTTGGCATCAGATTGATACTGATATTTGCATCGCACTAGTATTTAAAGAAAACCTTTATGTTCTCCAGAGTCAAAAGATTACATTCAACTTATATGTGGGTTTTTCTTCTTGCTGCTGTTCCCTTGAGGGGTTGGCGCAACAGATCTTCCTGCATTTCACCCCATCTCTAGCATCCACCTCTGTCGTACAGCCCTCTGCATGTCTTCCTTCACTACAGCCCTGAATTTCCTCTGTGGTCTTCCTCTTTTGCTCCTGCCTGGCAGCTCCATATTCGTAGAGTCCTGATCAAAAGTTTAAGTCCACTTGAAAAATGGCAAAAAAAAAAAAATCATATTGTGCATGGTTGGATCTTAACAAGGTTCCAAGTCAAGCTTCAACGTGCAACAAGAAGAAATGGGAGTGAGACAAAACTTTTTTATTTTGAGATATTCAGAGCTCTTCTTTGGATGTTTGCTGCCTTTTCTTCTGTTCTCTGTCAGATAGATCTCACACTGCTTCAGTGATGTTGAGGTCTGGGCTCTGGAGAGGCTGAGTGATATCCATGCTTTTACTGCATTGCCAGTTTGTTTGTGTATCACTGTTATGATGAAATATGAAGCTATTTCTAATCAGTAGTTTTTGAGATGTTACTGATTGGTGGATTAAAATCTGAGGGTACTTTTCAGTGTTCACAGTTTTATCATTTCATTTGACAAGATACCCAACTGGACTGTCTCCACCGCGACAGAGCCTCCACCGTGTTTGACAGATAGACACTTACTGTTGTACCTCTCTCCTGAACTCCTCCATACATGCTTTTGTTGTATTATTGTAATGTCTTTAACTTTAGGAAGTGAATGAGCCAACTGCAAAACTACAGGCCTTCAGCTTTTGGGAACAACCAACTGCTCACCAACTTTGCTACGACGATACAGTCGTTCGTTCTTTACAATGAATACTTCCCGTACTCTGTCTCTCTGTCTGTAATCTGTGTTGATTCTTGGATGCTCTTAGTAAACAAGGGTGCTAAAGAGGGGTCCTCCCTTTGGAGTTGGACAATATTGCTCGGGACAACCAGGAGCTCCTCAATCTCTGGTTCAGGGAGTGATTCAGCAATTTCTGTCCCCCTCACTTTTTCCTGTCTTCTCTGCATTCTACTTTTCTTTAAATGTGGTCTATTTGGTCCATCAACATCTGGAATTTCACTGACTGAAAAGGGCAACTCACTCAAACCTAGCTCTGACTGAGACACTCTATTACCAGACCTAGTGACGACTAGCAGACCTTCACATGCAACATGCAGATTCTTCTCTTCTCTGTCTTTGCTAATAACTCTCCAAGACAGCATCTGCAGACTGTTCAAGTTTCTTTTAAGTGTTCTTTATTTTCTGGTGTAGCCTTTCAACAATTGTTTCACAAAAACATAAGAACCTTTCAGTCTTCTTCTTTTTCCTTTTACGTATTATTGGCGGTTGGCAAACAACTGCATGGTGCATTACCGCCACCACTGGTATGGAGTATGGACAGAAATCACGCTAAAAAAAAAAACAAACAAAACACAAAAAACAAAAAACAAAACACTTCATATCCTCCCAAACAACTTTCCTTCTCTCAAAAACTGAAACAATGCCTGATAACATTTATCCCCCCGACTCCTTCTGTAGTAACCCTACAAGATCAAGGTTCATTTCAATGCTACTGAGATTTCGGACCAACCGTCTCCTCTCTACCATATATTTCCGACACTGCAAAATAACATGCTCCAAAGTTTCATCCGCTCCACAATAATCACATTTCCCTGAGGCATGCTTCCCTATCAAGAACAGTGTGGAATTCAAACCCGTATGCCCAAATCTCAGTCTTGACACCACCGCCTCCTCTCGCCTACTCCTTCTTGTGGATCGCCTCACTCCCACCCCCCTTTGAATTTTATATAACCACCTTCCCCTCCTGTCTTCGTCCCACTGTTTCTGCCATCTTCCCCTGATTTCTAGCTTAATAATACTCTTTACTTCCTCCTGACCAAAATTCACCGCCAGATCAACTATCTCATGATTAGTGGCTGCTTTTGCTAACCTGTCCGCTGCTTCATTCCCCCTTACCCCATAGTGAGCAGGGACCCATACAAACACTACTGATAGACCCATCATATGTATCCTGTAAAGGGTTTGCTGAACCTCTAATAAAATATCTGACCTACCTTTCGAATGACCATTCTGTAGACTAACCAAGGCTGCACTGGAATCTGAACAAATAATTGTGTTCAATGACCTCAAATCTTCCACCCACTGCACTGCTAATAGAATCGCTATCATTTCTCCTGTAAACACAGACAAACCATTATTAATCCTCATCCCAATTTTTACCATAAAGTCCAGAATTACCACTGCCACCCCCACTTGACTAGCTGGATTCTTCGAAGCGTCCGTATATACCTGCACATACCCATAATACTGATCTCTGAAACCCTGAACTATATTAGAGTCTAGACCGCCTGCCCCGTCCTTACTCTTCTGGCGCAACAAAGAAAAATCTACAGCTGCTTCAGGAAGTATCCATGGAGGGATTGCAGGCCTAGGCACTCGCCGACATATGTCTAAGTGGTCCAATTTAAGTTCCCTAGCTCTTCCCCCCACCACCCATCCAAAGCTCTTTAACTCCCTCCTGCCCTTCTCCCAGCAAGGTCTAAGTACATCTAATGCAGGGTGATCTGTCCCCTGACCCTGTAAGTTTGCCCAATATGTTAATGTAAGCTGTTCCCTCCTCAACCCTAGTGGCATTTCTCCCATCTCCACCTGCAAGGCTACAGTGGGAGTCGCCCCTGTACAAAGTCTCAACACCTGATACTGAATCAAATCTAGCTTTCTAAGAGAAGTGTCTGCTGCCGAATTATACGCCACACAACCATAATCTAACGTTGACCTCACCAATCCAGTGTATATAGCCCTCAGGGACTCCCTATCTGCTCCCCAATCCTTCCCAAACACCTCAAAATGTTCAAAACTTTTTTATACTTATCCACCAATTCCTGAACGTGTGCACCCCAAGTTAACCTCTCATCAAACCACAACCCCAGAAACTTAAATTTCCTCACTCTTTCTAATCCTATGCCATATAGCTTCAGCTTAATTTCCTCATTAACCCTCTTACTTGTAAAAAACATTGTCTTAGTCTTATCAACTGAAAACTTGAATCCCCACGACCATTCTTCCACTTTACCAACCGCTTCCTGTAACTTCTTTACAACAAAACCAACATTCCTCCCTCTCCTCCATCATCAGCAAAAAGTGAACACCCCACCCTCTATGTCATTAAACACATCATTAATCATTGAACCTGTCAGTCTTCTTCTTCTTCTTCAGTCAAGTTTAACGGCAGCTTGCATCCAAAACTGTTGCATTACTGCCATCTCCTGGCTGTTAACCGTCCGTCACTCCTGAATCCTCAGATCCTCTTGATGGAGACCAGTACTTCTCAAAAACGAAAAACCACCACTTTCCCTTCACCATGACTTAACCACTTGTCCAAATGTAAGTTCCCTTCCACCACTCAGTTCCCTTCCACCACTCAGTTCACCCCACATCACCCTCCTGTGTACCTGTCAGTCAAAAGCTCTCCTGCTTTATATAGAATTCCACTCACACCTGGATCTCATTAACCTCTACCATTGGGAAAACAGGGTAGACTAAATAACACAGTCTAGACAAAGAAACAGGAATAAAATCATTTTTCCACTTAACAAACTCATTCACCCAACGAAACAGTTTGAAAAGTCAATCTCTTCACGTAATCTGACTCATGAGGTTAGTTTAAATGAAATAAACAATTTTACACAAAAGAAACACCCCTTCATTTGGTTACACCCAATTGACATGATCAGGAAGTACTGGGGCGGCCCTTCCCACATACCTGTTTTACACATAGGACCTGGTCATAGGAACACACAATGGTAAGTATAACCAAATGAAAGATCCAAATCAATTAATGATGAAGTGACATTTAGCTTTAAGTACATTTGCACAGATGAAATGAATATAACCAATGCTACCACAAACAGACCCAGGATAGTATGTAGAGCCAAGGTTACATGTGTTGTGTTTACATTAAAGCATTATGATAGACTATACAGGATAACAGAACACAAAATAACAATATATGCAAGTGACAAATGGCAAATGAATTCTGTCCTAGCCACTTTGTCACAGGCTTGTGTATTTT